GCCTTCAACACTCCTCTACGCCCTGGGCCTCGCTGAGATGGCCACAGCGATGCCCGTCCCCATGACCATCTCCGACATGGTCTCCCAGATCAAGGGCGAGGCCCGCCGCTGGACACACATCACCCGCGTCTCCATGCACCGCATGCGCCCCGTCGCCATTCCCCAGGAGCTGCAGCAGCAGTGGGACGACAGCAAGGTCGAAGTCGTCTTCGACAACCGCCCCGTCTCCCCCTCAAGAGTCATCCCGCCATCACTCGTCCTCGCGGCGCCGAGGCCGCTTAAGACCGACTACCTCCAGGCCCTGTCGAAGCACCCGCAAGCAGCAGCAGCGAAGGACAGGGTCGTCGACGTGGACGGCACGGGGTCCCCCGAGACCATCAAGCCGATGACGCTCAAGGACGGACTGGCGGAGCTGATGCCCTCGAGGGTGCCCTGCTGGAAGCACGTGCAGGTCCCGAAGCCGACTATCGCCATCTTTGAGCAGCACCCTGATCTGATCGTCTTGGGCGCCGTCATCGCTCTGGTTCTGGTTCTCTTGGTGCTGGAGACGGTCGGCACAACGTTCCAAGGGTGAGTTCTTTCCTGTTTGCAAGCCCATTCAAAACACGAGACTAATAATGAACAGGGTCCGCAGCCACTACACTCTCCCTCAAGGAGAAATCCGCCTGGAGGGAGACGAGAAGCCCTGCAAGGCCCCGTCATTCCGCTCAGACGTGCCCCCGTACCGCGACGAGGAGGACGTCGAGAGGCAATCATGATTGTACCACCAAGGGAAAAGAAAGGAACAGGAAAAAGGGGCCGGTTTCAGGCTACCACGACCTATTAATGTGATTCTAGACATTTGCGATACCATTTTATTTTACTACTGAGCGCGGCGCTGGTTTTAGGGAATACAAACGAAACTTATCATCGTTAGCCTTGGGGTTTTCTGGGAGTGCTGTGAACTGATGAGCTGGGTGCGACGTGGGGGTGGACGAGGAGTTGGTTGGTCCAAGTTTGAGGCGACGAAAACGAAGCGGCGATGAATTGATGAAGGACTACGACGGCGATCTGGAGAATGCCGATGCCATCGCCACAGGACGCCAGCAAATCCACGACTATGCTGCCGTACTCGACAGAGCTACACAGCGCGAGATGGTATCGACCACGCCTTCGATATGGAAAAATTGCATTTGACATCATTCGGGAAAGTTAACTGGCGGGCCAGTTGCAGGCGAGTGTGGTTTGCGGACTAGGGTCGCGTGTTTTCGTCACGGTTTCGATGTGGTCAATCGTCCACCTCCACGGGTCTGGATTCCTCACAGTCACTCGCGCTTTTTGCAAGAGAAAGCAGCTACGGAGGGAGTTCTCAATTGGTCGCATCAGTAGGAAACGGACACGACATGCCACAGGATGGGCAAAGATTCCTCTACTTTGATGCCGACGAGACCGACACCCCATCTGGCGGTAAAGCCACCCAGGTCGCCAACCTACGAGGAACTCAACCACAAGCCGAATCGCACGACGATAACGCTGCTTCCTCACCACAGTGCAGTTTCGCCAGCCGCTTTTCCCGCGGACGTCCCCATACACGCAGTTCTCGGGCCCTGCCGGATGATGTGGGTGGACGGGCATGTGTGCCGAACGTCCCTAAACCCCGGGTGATCGGCAACTTTGGAGTCGCAGATCATGGATCACGCCAAACGTGCCGTGAAGCTTATGTTCTTTTTGTCATCCCAAATGTTGAATTGTGTTTCCGAAGAGTTTGTATTTATGCGTAATTGGCGACGCATTTGAACTGTCAACCGCAGCAATCACAACCACCTCCTTGAGCTTGACACCTGCAATCCTTTTGGAACATTAGTGATTGCATCAGCTATCTGTCACTCTCCAGACCAGGCATTCTTCTAACAAGAATAGCTCATACATATACAAGAATATACAGTATAATTGTAAGATACCCAAAAGACGGAGATGAAGACGAGGGCAGTGACGGCGGCGACGGCGGCGACAGCAGTTGGGATGCCTTCGCTGCTAAGCCTGGCTCTCATAGATAGATACGAGAAGTGAATCTGTGCAGACTCGGTCTGATGCCTCGTTTCATTAGAAGGACTTCGCGAAAGAAGTCATTGTGATTTGCAGATAAACCCCAGCCCTGTCTGTATTGTTTTATACTTGCGTCGCAGTCAGGGGTCTTCTGGGAACTCAGCTGCAGCTGAGATGTGAATGCGTGACGGCATAGCAAAGGTAACCCCGGTGTCCTACAGTGCAGACATATAAGACGCAGGCCTACAGTTGTGCCGTTCACAACACAATCCGGTCAAGTCTTCTGGTTGCTGATTTGAGGCGAAAGACAGGTTGGATTGGATTCAGTTCGTCCATAACAGTAGAGAATGCGCTGTTCTGAACTACCCCCATGGTAACTTCATCATTGTTCTTGATCTTCATTCTTAGTTTGCACCGATGCAGGATCAAATAACACGGAGACGTCACCGCGGGCAGCATTGATCGAGTGAAAGGCTGTCACGAGAATTGTGAACACCAACATCTATACACGATGCTTTGTTTGAGATGAGCAAACAGGCTAGAACGGCGCATGTTCTTGTTGAAGAGATTTGGATATCTTCTCTTTATGCTTTTAAAGCAGAAATCGGCCAATGGCCGTCACGGGTTTCATAAAGGACGGATTACGTCCTGTCTTTTCATCCAAGGTAGCCAACGCATTGGGGGCTATTCGCCTGCTTCCTTCTCATGATCAGCGTAACCCCGTCCCAGTCGAGGTCTGAATGCTCCGAGAAACAAAGCAAGCCTACATGATTTCGGGGATTCATAGAGTTTTCCTCGCCTCTGACATCTTATTCATTGCGGAAAGTCTGCACGGAACGGACCGGCGAAGACGGGTAGATCTACAAGTCTCCTGCCACTACTGCCACTAATATCAAACATAGCGAGGATGTAGACAAATTCCGGCAGTTGGACATAGAAACACTCCGCCCACCTTGGCGGATTTCGCCAAGGGGTCTCGAGTTCACAACTTTGACTTCCCTTGAATGCCAAGCAGCGAGATCGACGATAGCGAGACTGAGAGTACCTTTGAAGCAGGTTCAGCCACATTGCCTCGTCTCAAGCATATTGCGCAGCAGGTTCATTGGTGTATGAAGCCCACTTCTTGTCTTCAAATATCCGCCTCCGGATCGAACATCGATTCCAGCAAGAATGGGGGGCTCGAAATGCCATGTGAGTAGTGGTTCCCATCAGGGCCTTCTCAATTCCATGAGTTAGCTTGCCTCTTCATAGATACGTTTAGCAGTTCGGTCATCTCCCACGCCGTTTCTGGAGGCTGGTACTAATGTCCATGTGATCAGGTGTAAGATCATCGTGTTCATCGTTGCTCAAACATCGTGGTCACCAATAGTCACCAACGATGCCGTAAGGGGCCACAGAATCGGACACATGCACTGCATACTCATCACACAGACCGTTCCATTGCTTTAAGGATCGCATTAACTTACGTATGAAATCTCTTTCTTACATCATTTGCGTTACAGTAGAATATCATGATTCACGTTGATCTGTCGCAATCCAGCCAAGACCTCGCCATCATCTCACGGAGCATGAAATAAAAGCGTCGGCGACTCATAACAAGGAGCATTATTCAGACATGGCCATACACCAGAAATTCAAACCTATGAATGCGCTCTTGCCCAGTCTTAGCAGGCTGCATCAGCGTTACGTGCATGTCCAACTGCCTACCCAGGCCGACCGTACCCTATTTGCACCTCAATCTCTGCAACAACACTCTGAATCTTCGCACAACAGAGACAGGAAAGGTGGGAGCTGGCAAACCAGTGCGTATCGTGGACCGAAACGCGAATGATTCGTCGAGAGCGCAAAAACGCCGCCCTGAACCAAGCGACGTGCGGTCTCCCCGTAGATACCAAGCCGACAGCCGTGATAGCCTCATTTCTGACCACCCCCTATTTAAGAGACAATCCAGCTTCTTATGCGATGGAACCCTTCCCCCGGTATTGGCATTTCAGCTACAGAACCACCAACTCAATCCACGGAGATTTTCTGCACATCGTCATCGCAACTGGACATGGAGCGTTGCCGCTTTGCCGGTTTGCGACTCCGATCTAGCCGCTGAGGGGCAAGGGATCCTATATATAGTCCCATTTAGTCTAAACCTTCTGGAAGGATTGACCGCAAGGATTCTCCATCGGGAAGCCAATCCCATCACTCCTATTTGCATTGATGTCATCTTTTGTTTTTTGGTCTTCTCCCGTCCCCGTACTCTTCCCCCTTCCGTGGTGGTTCGGCGACCGAGGGGGTGCGGGTGCGACGGCCTCGGTTCCGACGTTGAAAATGACTCGTTCCACTTTATGTTTGTGTCTTCGACGGTGCCGTCTACCGGGAAAACGGTTGACGGCAAGAAGGTTGGAATTCTCACAGGGCGGGTGTTCGGATGATGCGGGTTGCTCTGTTCGAAGTTCATAGTCGAGGTGGTTAGGATCTAGAGTGGTGGTTTCCAGCTTCAGCCAAGATCCACTCTTAGCTGTTAAAGATGATATGAATATTTCAATCAGAGAGGAAAGTGAAAGTTCAGGGTCCCGTTGGAGGAGTAAGAGGCTGGATGAGACAAGAGAATGTGAAGTTGTCTTGCTGGTATGCCTATCTAAAACCCCATGCCAATCCGCTTTTCGTCTGTTGATGCCCCAGCCCAAGTACGGTTCCAGAACCCAAGGAGATCTTTCGCTCTAATACAATTTCCAGTCGATTAAGAACACCATCTTGCTCCCACTTGGCCCGTCCCATGATCTCTGAATACCAACCTCCATTTTGCGTCTGGTCATCAGAGGCACCTCGCCATTTGTTGCTGGCGTGCCACCCCGAAAGCCAAACAAGGTGTGAAAGATGATCTGTTGATCCCAAACCCACTCAACGCAAAGCCCTGTCTTCCATCCAAGCCTCCAAACTATCCATCCCGAGCTCTTTCGTGACGAGCACGACGAAGAAAGCTGTCACTTCTTGGAACCCTTGCCCTTCCGCTCGGACAGTCTCCGAACAATGTCGAAAGAAGGTCTCTGGGACTCAGCCGACGCCCGTGGAGAGGTCAAGATGGGCTTATTGTCCATTACAGAACTGGAAGAGCCTCCACGAGAGTGCCGAGAGGTTGCGGTGTCGGAACGGTCGCGGTAGGATTGGCCACTGATGCTCTTGCGAGGGGAGAGAGAGCGACGAACTGCCCGACCGACCGACTTGATCCAGTTCCGGCCTCGGTGACGGATCTCCTTATCCTGAATAACCTGTTCCTGCAATGTCTTCTTCGCGACAACCATGTATTCAATGAGTTTGTTGACGAGAGCCCTCGTAGCATCCGGTCCCAGGTCGGCCTCCACAACTGCCGCAGTCACGTACCTCTGAAAGCGATAAAATGGAGGTCCTTGGTCCCTGAGAGGCCGTGGCTCAAAAGAGCTGTTCACGAGTTGGCCCCATACAGCGCTGTAACGCTGGTCAAAATATTGGAAGACTTTTCCGGCGCTGGCTCTCCAGTCATGGTACCTCCACATGAGACAAGACTCGCCATTGGGCTTGGGGAGACCAAATACACGAACCAGAACATCAGCCAGGTGGGCAAGCTGCCATCGATAGCACACAACAGCAATGGCATCAAAGCGCATTTCAAGCTGCCTACCATCCACCACTGACATGAGCTGCGAACACAATGCAACATCGGTGCCGCTATCCCAATCGCCTGGGCATGTCTTGAGAAACAGGCCAACCAAGATCTTCACCCGCTGTTGCCTGTCATGGCGAAGAAGCTCGCCTTCGATTTTATCCTCGATGGACAAGCCACCTGTCGAGCTCGTGAGCTCTTGTTCAGTGTTGTAGGAATTGCTATGGCCCGGTTCCATATGGGCCTTTGAGTTTGGGCCGCCGGCATGGGAAATCGTCCTAAGAGAACTTTTAAGGGGGGCGTTGGCAGTCATAATGTCCTGATCGACATTTAAAATGGTTCTAGGGCTAGATATGGTGAAAGTCTGGTGATGAATATGCACAATAAGACCAGAAGAAAACAAATGAGCGAAGAAAATGACCGAAGACGAAAATAAGAGTGGTCTGCACCCTTTCTCCAATGGTAACAAGGTTGACATCAAGCTCCCCAAGTACCAAGGTGTCTATGCCCTTGACACTGCGCAACATACCAGAAGGGTTGTGGGCAAATTGGCTGAGCCTGCTTGAGAGCATCACTTCACACTGAGAAAAAGGTTTTACTCTAGTCAACAGCAGATTAAGCGGTTTTTACTGAAGAGCTTTGGTATCCGGGCGGGTGTGAGCATAGACGACGATAGGGACGATGACGACAATAGGGACAGAGAGAAGTACAGGAACAGGGACGACGGAGACGGCGGAGATGGTTGATAATTAAGATAAACTAGACTGTTAGACCTAATTTGGGTGGTGTTCTGCCCCGTAAGTTAGAAGTATCCGCCCGAATAGCAAGACTCTTGATAAATGCTTATTGACATTGAGAAATTCACAGTTTGAGTGTTTTCTAGTATGTCCTAATAGAAGAAAAATGCATGGTTCACGGTGAGGATTGCTTTGAATTCTCCGTGACAAGCGCTTTAAGCTATCGCGGGCATGCGGGATCACCGGCAGGGAGGTTCTTGTTAGCTTTCAGGGGTAAAAGTAGACACTAGAAGCCCGGTGACATCTCTAACGAATGTTATTTCCAAATTTCCCTGGACACGAGACTTCTACCTTCTCAGAAGGCAAGAGCCTGCATAAAGGGATGAGAGTCCTTGTTAAAAACCTCAGCACCGTCCGTCCAGGGATAAATAGCACGCCAATCACATCCATCAGATGTGAGATTAGCCCAATACGAGTAGACACCACTAGAGTATCGCACTACTCATCTCAGAGATAATAGAGTTCAATGGTGAATGAAAAGCTGCCTCATATGTGTCCAGTTTTCTTCCTGGTGGTATATTTGGACGAATAAGTCACCCAATGACTATGGCTTCAGCGAAGTTCGTCGCTTACCCGACTTCTCATGAAAAAATGAGAGCAGCAGCGCTCATCACCTCTCGAACTAAGTTTGTCAACTCATCCATAGATCATTGCTTGTAATCGTAATAGCGCGCATCCATCAGTCAACTTATATCCGAGCGTTCGCCTTATACTGGGCTCCTCCATCTCATATAAGACCCAGGGCTCGCCTTCGACGAAAGCTTCTCGAGGGACAAGAAACGAATGCGTCGCGGGATCACGCAGAACTATCCAGGGCGCTGTATTCCCATGGAGCAAAGTTTTCCCACTGATTGGGTGCGAGATTCGTTTGTCACATGGAGTTCGCCATCCGATCTGGATATTGTTCGTACCGGCGAAGTCGACTTTGTTGTCTTCCCCTGACTTCGCCTTATTCGATGCACAAGCAACAAAGCTAGGAATCAGCAAAAAAGCAAACGACTCAGACATCCTCTCGTGTCTGTTCTTGCACCATAGAAGGGTTGGCAAGAGGCGCGATCTTTCGCGGTTTCGGTGGATTATTAGCCATTCCTAGTTTCTGACAAGATGTGGGTTTCTATAGACGGAGAACTGAACTGACAAGATCAGGTCGAATGACGAGGCATAGCGCTCATGGTGGTGATGCCTGGGCTCATTCGCGATGATGTCTGGACGAGAGATCTTCAAATTGGACTTGATCATCGCTATAAAAGCTTTACGAAGGCCAGAGATGAATCATTTTCTCGACCAAATGACGACGTTTTGGTTTCGTTACTTCTTCTACCATGGAGACAACAAAGCCTCGTGTGTGTTTGGGCGTGTTACCCTCGAACAGCGACGAGAGCAGGGCTAGTTATGAAGACGAGGCGGATCTTTCTGCCCGTCTTCGCGCGGCCCTTGAGTTGTTGATGTATTCAAGGACAAATATCCACTAGTTAATATCCACTAGTTGAAATAGTAGAGATAAGTTCTTGTTTCGCATAAATCTCACCGCATAGGACACCAAGACTTGCTTCAATTATACCCGCCGCGAGATTCACCGAGCTCGAGATTCAACTGGCATGGGCCAGTTTTGGCCCCAAAGACAGTGAGAAGCGTTCAGCTGCTCCTTAAAAAGGTTTTAATCAAAGAGCGCCGAAGACTTACCAATTATAAGCCCCGTGAATGAGATGCCGTTCGTGTGAAGTTTTCATGCCATAGCCATGTAGTATCTTCTTGAGCTTCATGCAATGATGAGAAGGCGAAACCGCATAGGACAACACTTGCGACAATACAAGAGCAAGGCAAGGCGCGGGAAGGAGAATGTTGAACGTCCCTATGGTTATTCATCTGCGTTGAATAAGCCACCGGCGGAGACGCTGAACACGGCTCGTTGCGTGGCTTTTGCAGATGCTTGGAATTCCTGTCACCTGTTTGTAGCAGCCTATGAGCGGGTTGCCTATTTCAAGACACTGGATCGACAGTGAATCCGAAGTCCACCAAGCGAATACAATTGTGTGGCAAAAGCTTGGTCAAGACAGCAAACACCAAATTTATAGCTATCTAGTACGCAGCCGTGACGGTCGAATGCATGTGAACTCATCGTTAACAGCAGCATCGTGGCATCCGATCATACGAATCTCTCGCAATCCTCGCGCGGAATCCTTTTTCAGCTGCGTCTATTGTGGGTGAGTAGTTCTTGGCGCGAAGGTGCTCGCAGTGATGCATTGCTGACCCCGTTCGTCTCATGCGGCATGACCTTCAGCCTCAGTTCATCCTCACAAGCCGTCCGAGAGATGTACCTTTCTCATAGCTCGAGTGACATCTCGCATGTGAGATGAGATGAGATGAGATGGCAGCTGCGCCTAAGCCTCAATGCGGGGTGCCTCACATGCGGATACGTAAGAACACATGTGAAAACGCGGGGGCGGGGTCTGCATATGGTTGGACTTCATATGTTTTTTGCTATGTATTTTTTACGGTTCAATTCGAACAAAACGGATCGCTCAAGGGACCGCATTGTTTCCTTTTGGTCATAGGTAACAGGATATCGTTACGTAGTTTACACGGGATCGGTGGCATTTTGCCACATTTAAACACAGGTTTGGGGGGGTTGGGGTTTCATTTCACGGGCTTTTAGGCCTTGTAGGGCTTGGGGCCGATCATGAGCTCGGGGCGGACGAGCTTGTCAAAGTCCTCCTCGGTGAGGGCCTGGAGCTCGAGGGCGCTCTGCTTGAGGGTGAGGCCCTTCTTGTGGGCGTTCTTGGCGACCTTGGAGGCCATGTCGTAGCCGATCTTGGGGTTGAGGGTGGTGACGAGCATGAGACTATGGTGTTGTTAGCAAACCTCACACCTTTACTCCTTGTATGTTTTAAAACTCACGATTCCTTCATGATGCTGGCAATCTTCTCCTCGTTGGCCTGGAGGCCGACGACGAGGTTCTTCTCGAAGGAGCGCATGCCGTCGGAGAGGATGCGGACGCTGTGGAGCAGGTTGCGGATGACCAAAGGCTTGTAGACGTTGAGCTCGAACTGGCCGTTCATGCCACCGATGGTGGTGGCGACGTGGTTACCCATGACCTGGGCGCAGACCATGGTGAGGGCCTCGCACTGGGTGGGGTTGACCTTGCCGGGCATGATGGAAGAACCGGGCTCGTTCTCGGGAAGGACGAGCTCGCCGAGACCGCAACGGGGGCCGCTGCCGAGGTAGCGGATGTCCTGGGCGATCTTGGACAGGGAGCCGGCGAGGGTGTTGAGGGAGCCGTGGGCCTGGACGATGGCGTCGTGGGCGGCGAGGGCCTCGAACTTGTTGGGGGCGGTCTTGAACTCGGTGCCGGTCATCTTGGAGACCTCCTCGGCGATGGCCTCAGCGAAGCCCTCGAAGGTGTTGATGCCGGTGCCGACGGCGGTGCCGCCCTGGGCAAGCAGGCGCAGGTCGGGCAGGGAGGACTCGACGCGCTTGATGCCGGCGTCGAGCTGGGCGACGTAGCCGGAGAACTCCTGGCCGAGGGTCAGGGGGGTGGCGTCCTGCAAGTGGGTGCGACCGATCTTGATGATGTTCTTGGCGTCAAAGTCGTCGACCTTCTTCTGGAGGGCGTCGCGCAGGCTCTTGAGGGAGGGGATGAGCTCCTGCTCGATCTCGAGGACGGCGGCGATGTGCATGACGGTGGGGAAGGTGTCGTTGGAGGAGGCGGAGCGGTTGACGTGGTCGTTGGGGTGGACGGGCTTCTTGGAGCCCATGGTGCCGCCGAGGATCTCAATGGCGCGGTTGGAGATGACCTCGTTGGCGTTCATGTTGGACTGGGTGCCGGAGCCGGTCTGCCAGACGACGAGGGGGAAGTGGTCGAGGAGCTTGCCGTCGGCGACCTCCTTTGCGGCCTGCTGGATGGCCTGGCCGATCTTCTCGTCGAGGCCGAAGCGCATGTTGACGGTGGCAGCGGCGCCCTTGAGGATACCGAAGGCCTTGACGATGGGAGGGGGCATACGGTCCTGGGGCTGGTTGATCTTGAAGTTCTCGAGAGAACGCTCAGTCTGGGCGCCCCAGTACTTGTCCGAAGGGACCTGGATCTCGCCAAAGGCGTCGCTCTCGGTACGGGTGCCGGCCATTCTGGTGACGGTGGTGTGCAGACTTCTCTGGAGAGAGAAAGGGCTGGTGAATTGTGTTGATCGAGAGGCCGTCGCGGGGTAAATAGCTGCGGGGGAGGCGGTTCGGGTCGAGCATGTGGAGAGGCTCTTTGCGCATGTCCTCGGCCTAACGGTAAGCCGTGAGCTCGCCAGGCCGGAAGCGGCGCGTCGAGCTGGTGCCGAGCGAAGCATGACGGATCTGCCTTTTGGGGTGTTGGTGGCTGCGTGTAGGTTTTCCTTTGTACAAACAAAAAAACGGCGGTGAAACTCGAGACCTAGGGGATCTAGACCGAGTCAATTGCAGAATTACGACCTCGAGGGACAGACGAGAACGATTGCGCTGAAAATGCTGAGTTTCTAGAAATCTAGAGGAACAAAAAAGGAAGGAAAAAAGAACTCTGTTTTTTCCCTCAGCAACAGAAAGTCGACCACCTGTCTCCGAATTGGCTCCGTTGGGGGGAGCTCTAACAGCGTGGGGCCCCAGATGGCCCGTGCCCTCCGGCTTATCCCGATATCCCGAGCGTGAAGCACCGCAGCAACGTGCCGATGGCAGCTGCGAGATGCCCGAGCAGCTCCGGTCCGCCGTGAAGTGTCTTACATAACCGGGCTGACCTAAGGCATCCGGCTGAATGTTCTTCACCCACCTCAGACAACGAGACGGAATGGAACTTGAGATGGAAGCCACTTCATGAGACAGGCAGTGATGCATGAAATGTCACCACCACGAGAGCACGGCCACAATGACCTGTTCTCACTACTCACTATCCACATGCCGGCAACGTGACAACGTGAGCAGCCACCTCTTGGCACCCGCAGCTTCAGCCCCCTCCGGATGTGTCCTTTCATCGTCGCCGTTGCGCAGCGGACGGTTCATGATAGGACGGGAAGCTGCGCGCGACGGAGACGACGGCCCCGCTCCGCTGCAGCATGTCATCACCAAACATTGACTCTCCAGGGCTCTGGTGCACTGAAAGCTCGTTAAGCTCTCCTCTCGCCGCCCGCGGGAACGGGTTCGGGTCGCTTGAATCTGGGGTCTTTTGGCCCTTAGGTTGGTAAGGTAGCTTCCCGTCTTCTTAGTACTGCACACCGGACATACCGGCGTCCACAGCCTCTCGCTCAACCCACCCATGTCTCCAACCCGCCCCCGGTCCTGAAGGGGACCGACTGGGGCGACGGCGCCGACAGTAGGGGCAGTAGGGGCAGTGTAGACAGGACTGTTGAGGCCCCCAAGACTTGAGGCCATCGCGGCCATTGGTTCCCCTCGCAACCACACGCCTGATTAGCGCCTGACGGGCTACTGTGCAAAGACGGAGGTTATCGATCAGCAGATCCAACAGACTCACACCTGCACTCACCGCACCAGGCTGTCACCATGCAGCCCCTTCGCCGTCTTACTCGTCCATGGTTTACGGGTACCTTGAACTGATCTCACGACCGGCAAGGGGCCCAATGCAGCTAGGGCCTCGAGCCTCATGAGCACGCTGCTGCATGGTACGGTAACCGTTTCCCCTCTTCTCTTGGTCAGAAAAAGAGGCGATGAAGCCATGCGACTGGCTGAGTTTCATCTTCAGCCCAGCTCGCTTCGCTGGCGCCGTTGTCTTTGCTTGTTGGTAGCCCAGCTTCTAAAAAGTACAATTGCCCGCCTTCGACTTTTTCTTATTCCCCTCCTCAAACCCACCACCAGCTCGTTCGTCTCCTTTTTTTCTCATCCCACCTCTTCAGATACCCCTCTCGCAGGAAGAACTCGGGCGAGAAAAAAGGTATATCAGGCCAGCCGTGTGCTTCTCAATTGACCAACAGAGCTCGCGACACTCGTTACTTATTAGTTTCATTTTATCTGATAAGAGCTCCTCCTCCAACTCGGGTCGCCCTACGCCCTGTCCCACCTTTTGACAGCAGCAGCAGCCCCTCATTCCACCACGTTTCGTTTCAACTCGAGCTCTGAACCCCACCTCGTCTGGTCTCTGCACCAGGCACCCGTCAGCTTTCACCTCATCTCTACAGCGACAAACCCAGTTCGAGTGCCACAATCTCCAAGCAATCACCATGTCTCTAAGGGTCGACGACAGCAGCCGCCGCACCCGTTCACGGTCCCCAGGCCGTCGCGAGCGCAGCCGCAGTCCTGCCCCTCCCGCCATGGTCGAGCCCCCGCGGGAGCCTACCTACGCTTACCCCGAAGATGACCTCTCCAAGTACGCCCTTGAAAGAGGAGGCGCCAACTTCATCACCGCCGAGCCCGGGGTTCCCGTGCTTCCCTCCGGGACCATGTCGGGTGCCATCCCCTACCCCGAAGACGGGACAAGCGAGGCCTTGTTCCCCGGCACCCGCTCGCTCTACGACTACGACGGCGACCGCACCTCATCCTACCGCCCTCCCGCGTCTCCGAGAGAAAGCTCCTACCGCAGCTCTCGCGACAGATTCGACGAGCCGCAGATCCGCGCAGTGTCGCCGCGCGAGGATGACAAGCTGAACTACCTGCCCGCCAAGTACAGCAGCCACACCCGCAACCGCAGCCGCAGCAACAGCAAGTACGGCAGCGACGAGTACCCGCCTCCGCAACCGCCTCGTCCAGACAACAGGGAACTTTACCCCCCGGCCAAGCCTCCTCGCCCTGTGTCCCCCGGCGGCTACGCTTACGCCCAGCCTCAGCCCTACCAATATGCCAACGCGGACGGCAAGACTGAGAAGGAGAGGAAGAAGGAGGAAAAGAAGAAGGCCCTGGAGGAAAACCTCACCTACGGATATGACCAGTATGCGCAGAAGCCCAGCTTAGCTCTTGAGCCACCGCGCCACTCTGGCCGCGCCCCGAGCCCAGGCCCTCAAATCTCGGCTGGTGCTGCTGCGTACTACGGAGCTGACCCCAAGATCTCGTCAAACGTCTTGACCGTTGAGCCAGGCAGCCGCAGGCGTGACAAGTCGCCTCAGCCGCCCACCCACCGCATGTCCAACCTGTCTGTCAACACCGGCCACCACTCCCTGAACATGAACCTCTCCTTGGCCAACGCCCCGGGCTCCCCGCTACTCGAGTCGTACCACGGCACATATCAAGACATGTCTCCCATGCCGTCGCCCATGCTCCTCGCCTCCTCCCACCCACATGACATGGAGCCCATCTCTCCACTCGGCTCTGACGACGAGGGAAGACGGCGTCGGAGGGCGCGGTTCCACGACATTGAGGATGACGCCTCCAGAATCGCAAAGGCCCTGCGCAGCGACCGCAAAAACCCCGACCCCGAGCCCCTGATCGAGATCCTGCCCGGACTCACCCACGACCAGGTGATGAACCTGCGCAAGGAGTACAAGGCCCTCGTCAAGACGGGCCCGGAGCGCAAGGGCGTCAACGTGGCCAAGCACATCCGCTCCCGCCTCAAGGACGCAGACCCCAACCTCATGAAGGCCTGCTACGCCACCGCCCTCGGCCAGTGGGAGAGCGAGGCGTACTGGGCCAACTTCTGGTACCAGGGCGACAAGACGCGGCGCGAGCTGCTCATCGAGGCGCTCATGGGCCGCACGAACCACGAGATCCGCCTCATCAAGGACGGCTTCAACGACAAAAAGTACGACAACAGCCTGACCAAGTGCATGAAGACGGAGCTCAAGGAGGACAAGTTCAAAAAGGCCGTGCTGATGGTGCTCGAGGAGCGGCGCATGGAGGAGTACGACCCCTACGGCCGCCGCCTCGCCGTCGACTACCACCAGGTCGAGGACGACGTGGCGGACCTGCGCAAGGCAGTCAAGTCGGAAAAGGGCGGTGAGACGCTCATGATCAGCATCGTCGTACAACGCAGCGACTCGCATCTGCGCGAGGTGCTCAAGTTGTACGAAAGGACGTACCAGTCCAACTTTGCGCGCGACGCGCTCAAGAAGAGTGGCAACCTGGTCGTAAGTATCTCCTGACACCTACGGTAATGATGTGATTTCTGACGAATGTTACAGGGCGAACTGCTGGCTCACATTCTCAACGGCGTCATCAACAAACCCGTGCGAGACGCCCTGCTGGTCCACCACGCCCTGACCGCAAGCCGCAAAGACGACCTGCGCCGCGAGCTGCTCATCTCCCGGCTGGTCCGCTTCCACTGGGACCGCCACCACATGGAGGCTGTCAAGCGGGCGTACCGCGAGAGGTACGGACGTGACATGCAGGATTCCGTCAGGGAGGCCACGAGCGGCGAGTGGGGTCTTTTCTGCAGGGAACTGTGCATCTACCGCATGCCCGACGATGAGAAGGTCTTTGAGCGACGATGATTGTCATTTTTTTCCGTCCGTGATGAAGAGATGGATGAAAGATGTAATGAGACCATGCGATATGGGAAGGCTATTTGAATGAGATATCTTTAAGATGTAACCGAGTACCATACACTTTTATTGTCAAAATGATGGTGCCGCATGTCCTTACTTGAACCGAACACCCCTCCTGTACCCATGGTCGTCCCTCCGTGAAACAACCATCTTCTGACGTTCCCCAATCGCATACGAATCCTCAGTCTGATCGTCAATCTCCCCGACTAGTTCATCCTGATCCGACCGCCGTTCATAGCTCCCCGCCCGCGAACACTGCGGTCTCCTCTCGTAATACCTCCTCTCATCATCATCCCCCAACGCACCACACATCATGGGCCCCCTCCTATGGTCACCGTCCCTCGTCTGCCTGCCTTCTCTATGTCTACCGCCGCCGCTCCTGCTGGGCCCATACCGCGTCGGCGTTACATGGCGATAAGCCGGCACCTGCTGCTCACGCCTAGGATAATCCTCAGACTCCCTGAAGATGAGCGTCCGTTGACGGCCCCTCCTGGAATGGTGCGCATCGCATTCATCTCTTCCTTCCTGCCGCCGGCTCCGGTCTCGAGATTTGCTTCGCCGGTGCCGCGTGTCTCTGCTCTTCGATCGCGTAGCGGCTGCGAATGATCTTGGTCCTGTGCAAACATGTTTCCTCCTATCGGATGCGTGGTGGGTGTCGTCGACTTTGAGACCCCATCTCTTCGGATCCTGCTGCATCGTCACCCTCTGTCAATATGCTCATTGTGTCAATCGAGGGATACACGGGGCAGCAAAAACATACCTCACCAGGACACCTCGAAAGCCCGATAACATCCCCACCCCACTCACCACCACCCCTTTTCATAACAGGATAACACTTTCCCCAAAACCCCTTCTTATCCTTCTTCTTCTCCCTCCCCTTCTTCCTCTTTGGATTCTTCCTCCCACTACATTCTCCAAACCCACACCCCCTCCCGACGCTACACCCACCACCGCCACCCAAGCCAGCACAGCACTCCATCGTCTCGTAGCAACACTCGCTCTCCCAATCCGAACAACAGTCCCCGCACTCAGAGCAATCCCCCTCGTCCGAGTCAGACTCAGACTCTGAGTCCGATTCCGAGGACGAGTCCAAATCGAAGCAATACCCTCCCCCTCCGCCCTCTTCATACACAACCCCGTCCTCATCCATCACGGGCCCCATCATGCTGCTGCGCGCTTGTTCAGACCGGAGAGCGACGACGGCTTCGTCTACGATTTGGCGGATCTCTCGACTACTCGCTGAGCCCATCACTGCTCCAAAAGAGAGGAAACTGACGGTAAAACCGGGAGGAAAAGGGGCAGATCTAAATACAAACCTCGTCCTAGGAGAAAAGGGGGGACCACAAGAGGAAAACGCTGACCCTTTTGTTTGTTTGCCCTCGACCTCCCCTCACCGGCTACATGCAGCCGCGTAACCGTCCGAGGTCACCCAAGTCCTACCATCACATATGCAGTCGTCACTTCGAACACGGCGGTGAGGAGTATGAAATGGAATGGATGGAACACGGGGAGTGCTCCGTTATCCTATCTGTTCGTCCATGACTGTGAAATATGTAATTTGGCAACACAAACCAATGCAAACCCGATGCTAGACTCCCTTCAATACGTATACAGCAATAACACCATGCACGCCCCAACTCAGCCCATTTCCCCGAGTGTCCTCGTGGGCTATGGCTCAACGCCAAAACGACCCCACGCCGGTCCCATTTACACATTATGCGTCTAGCATGCATTTTCCACACATAAACGTACACACCTCTCCTTGCCCATTTACAAGAAGCCCTTCGTCATACTAGGAGCCCGGCTAAGGCTGCTCTTGCGCTTGGGCACTGAGATCATGGAGGCGGTCTCGTCATCAATACTAAACCCCGTACGCCACGCCCCGCGAACGCTTCCCATCTGAGAAGCGGCGCCTTTCTCCATTCTCAGAGCCTTGATGTTCTCAATCTCGCGCTCGAGACGGAGAGACTTCTCCTTCTCCTCGCGAAGCTCCCTCTCCGCACGGCGGGTCGACAGCTGGATTTCAGACTCGGAGGACTGGAGATCCTCGATTGTCTGCAGAAGCTTCTCGACCTTGTCGCGCATGCGGGACACGTCGTCCTGCAGTTGCGTGTTCTGCTTGTCCTTGCGATCGATCTGGCCCTGGAGGTCCTTGACGATTCGGTCGACGTTGCGGACCGATCGCTGAGACTTGGTTCGTTCATTCTCTTGGTCCTCAAGCTGGGACTCGAGCTGTGGATTGTTAGCAATTTGAAGTGGCTGTTTGTGTCTTTGATAAATATGCTTACCTCTTGAATTCGCTTGTGGAGGAACTTGATATCGTGACTTGCGCTGGAATAGCCCTTGGTTTCGAGATCAACAAGCCTGATTTGGATCTCGTTCAATGACTTCTCGAGGGAAGCCTTATCCTTCTGAAGCTGAGAGCTGTTCTCGCGCTCAACCATTGCCTCCTTCTGCATCTCGGAAGCCAAGGACTCGGCGCGTCTCATCTTCTCTACCGCAGCCGCCGCGATGTCCTCCTGCTGAGCCAAGCTTGACTTCAGCTCCAACATCTCCTTATCAAGGTTCGCCGCGTCACGCAGAGACGGGCTGTCGCCGTTGGTGAGATCCTCAAGGCCAGCCTTAGCTTCTTCGAGGCGAGCCTCAATGTTCCGCTTCTCGCGCACGAGGGTGTCGCGCTCAGAGGTGATATCGTCAACGGACGCGCGGAGGGATCGGACCTGCGAAAGAAGTGTGACGATCTTGCCCTGGGCTTCGCTGTGGGCATTGACGGCCTCGTCGCGCGAGGACACGACGTCAGCTAGAGTTGACTCAAGGCGTGCCTTCTCCTTGGACCAGGTCGAGCTGTTCAGAACTTCGTCGTCCCACTTAGAGCGGAGCTCGTCGAGTTCTTCGCGCAGGCGAGCAATTTCAGCCTGCTTAAAGAGCTTCTCTTCCCGGGCCAGATCCAATTCCTTGGTCAAGGTGGCGAACTCGGCCTGGTACTTTTTGCGGGTCTGCTCCATACTCAATTCCTTGTCCTCGATGTCGATTGCTCTCTGGTTCCTGTAGTCCTCAAGCTCGTGCTGGAGACGCTTCTTTGCTTGAGTAGTGGTTTCCAGATCGGTTGACATATCCTCGAGCTTCTCCTCGAGCCGTTGATTCTGGCGCTGGAGGTCCTCAAGAGCAGCGTCCATCTTTTCTCTCTCAGACATGATCTCAGCGTACGTCTCCTCTGCTTCCTTAGCCTGAGTCCTTGCAAACTGCTCCGCCCGGCTAGCCTTGAGTACCGCAATCTCCGCTGCCTCGAGTTTACTGAAGTACTCGTCGGCTCGGCTCTTGTACAGATGCAAGCTGGACGTAACATCAGCGAGCTTAGAAGTCTCGGTGTCGAGACGAATCTGCAGATCGGAGAACTCCTGCAGAAGCTGGCTGCGGCTGTCCGCCTCCTGTTCTCGAGCCATCGACATCTCCTCAAGCTCGGACCTGGTGTCGCGAAGCTCAACTTCAATGGCAGCACGATCGTGGCGCATCTTCTCAAAGTGGTTCTTCACGTCCGAAAGTTCAGAGATAGCATCCCTATGGCTATGCAGGAGAGATCTACGCGCCTCCTCTTGGCTGTTGAGTGCGTCAAGAATCTCCTCGTGGGATCGGGTCTGGATGTCGCGCAGAGAGAGCTCGCCGGTTCTGACACTCCGCTCCAAAGCCGACACCTTCTTAGCAGAGTCATCCAGCATGTCGTGCAGGCGACTATTAACCTTCTCGAGCTTCTGCATGCGAAGCAACGAGTTGTTCTGGTCGAAATCCTCTGGCGGCGAAGACGTGTTGTTGGCCTTCTTCTGGAGTTCATCGTTCTGTAACTTGGCGATTTCGAGCTGGTTTCGTAGCTCCTCGATCTCAGTCTTGAGGTCCATACGATCGTTGAAGCTGACAATGTCGACGGTCTTGTTTGAACGAGCCGAGTCAAAGGGCTCTGGCTCGAATCGTCGAGTGGGAGTGGAAGTGTTGGAGAGTTGGCGGTTCTGCATCTTTGACCGTCTGAAGGTAGGCGAGCCATTGAAAGGGGCCTCGTTAGGACTAATCTCCTCGAGTTTCGGTCTCATAGGAGAGTCAAATCCTCTGTTCGACCGCAGCTCAGCCAGCTGTGCCTCGGCATTCGTGCGGGCAGCAGTCTGCACTCTGAGGTTCTGCTGAAGATCCTCAACCTTTCTAACCAGATCGAAGTTTTTGGTCAGCATTCCCTCGTTTGCGCCGTCCGCTTGAGGCGGGATCACAACCTCGGGATCGACCGTCTTGAGCACGCTGAGCATTTGAGCCCTCAACTCCTGCAGCTCCTGCTCCCTAGCCTCCATGGTTGCTTGCAGAGTGCGGACGTTGGCTTGCGCTTGGGTGCGCTGGTGGCGTTCCGATTCAACGGTCCGGTTCGCTTCAGCGAGTTGTACCGTGAGTGTCGACGTCGTCTTCTCGGCGTTCCTCGAGGTCTTAGCTTCCCGGGCCACCTCATGGTTCAGGTCTTCCACGTCAAGTTGCAACTTCTCAACCTTCTTCTCGAGACCAGCGACGGTGAGTTGTGCGTCGCCAAACTGTTTGTTCAATACAGCGTTCTGCTCCTCCAGGCGATTTTTCTCCTTCTGAAGACCCAGAACTTGGCCTCTCGAAGCCTCGCTGGCCCTCGAGCTTGAGCGTGCAATCTCGAGTCCCTTTTGTTGTAATTTGTTGAGAAGGGCACGATTGTCGTTCTCGGATGCCTTGAGACGGCCCTTGACGGTGACCAATTCGCGCTCGAGTCGGTCCTTTTCTTGATCGTTTTTCAGACCGAACTCTCCAGATTCGAGTATCAACTTGTTCAAGTCCTCGATTTGGTGGTTCAAGTTGGCACACTCGTCATCAAACCACTTCAGGCGTTCGTGAGCAGCATCCAAATCTTTGCGTAGGCTCTCTTCCCTTTCACGGGCAGCACGAGCAGCAGCTCTTTCCCCTTCTACCTCCGCTTGTACGCGAGCTTCCTCGGCCTGAGTCTTGGCGATACGGAGGCGTCTGATTTCCTGACGCGCCTCGTCACGTTCCTTCTCGGCTGTTTCGCGGGCCTCCTTGGTCCGGCGCAAATGGTCCTGTTGCACGTAGAGCTCCTTTTCGATAATGATCTTGGACTCCTTCAAGTCGTCATACTCCTCTTGGAGAGCGTTGTACTTATGCTCGCTAAGTAGCAAGACATCGTCGCGGGATTGACGCTCTCTGCTGAGTTCCTTCTGGACGTTGAAGAGTTCATCCTTGAGATCCTTGATCTGCGCCTCCAGGACCTGACGGTTCTCATCAGCTTGCGCGTCTTCCGAAAGTCGAGCTTCAAGAAGCTTTTTGGCATCCTCAGCCTCTCTCTCGAGCTGAGATTGCTGTGACTTGATGGCAGTAAGCTCGGCCTGAACATCACGCAACTTAGAAGAGGCAGTCTCCTTTTCCGCAGCAAGTGTCTTCTTCTGGTCCTCGAATGTGCGTCGCTCCATCTCGTACTTCTTGTTGTCTCCTCGAAGAAGGGCAAGCTCACTCTCCTTCTTGGTGATAAGATCTTCGTAATCTGTTGAGGTCTTGGAGAGCTCGGACAACTGCTGCTGGACTTGGCGATTTTCGAGGGCAAGCTGCGACTCTCTTGACTTTGATGTTTGCAGTTCTTTCTGCGCTGTTCGCAACTTGACTTCGAGATCCTGATCTATTTTCAGAAGCTTATCCTCCAAGTCTCGGGCTTTGCGATCCTTGAGGCTGAGCTGGCTTTGAAGCATTTTGATCTCACCCTCCAAACGTTTCTCCTGCTCGCTGCGCTCAGATTGCTTCTTGGAGATCTCCTCGATGGAGCGCTCCAGCTCCTCCGTCTGTGCAGAAAGGTCTGACTTCTCCTGTTCGAGTCTCGCAATGAGAAGAGCGGCTTGTTCCAGCTGGGCACGGTACTTCTCGACATCCTGCTCGGCTCGCTTCTTGGCTTCCAGTAAGTCATCAAGCTGGTCTTCTAGCCTCTCTTGGTCATCAATAGCGCCAGAGAGCTTCTCTTCCAGCTCGGTTTCCCGGAGTTGCAAACGCTTGAAGATTTCCTCCTTGTCCAGCGCAAGAGCACGTTCGCTCTCCAGCGTCTGTTGGATACGGATCATCTCGTTGTGAACGTTCCGCCTCTCCTCTTCGAGCTTCTGGCGGTCGTTGGCTTCTTGGTGCATCTTGTCTTGCAGCTGGCGGATCATTGCGTCCCTCTTTTTCACTTCAGTTGCGCTTCTTGTAGCACCGAGCAGAGGCTTCATCTTCGTCATGAGCTGCCACCAAGGGTTCTCCATGAGATCGAGATAGACGTTGAAGTTTTTCTGGATAATCCGAGTGGCTTCCGTGCGGAACAGCCTCTTGTACGCACTGCGACGCTGGATGTAGCCGCGAGCAACTGACTGGAATCGTGCCATGATCTCGGTGATTAGAGCGTCGCGTTGCTCTTCCAACTCGGCCAAGACACCTGCTCTGAAGAAGACCTTCGTAAGACCCACCCGGTACAGTCCCTTGTCAAGGCCAAGCTTGTCAAGCATCATGGCCGCTACAGCCTGGCCTTCCTGATAGCCCTTGGGCATGTCTCTGCAGAGAACCTCGTAACGCTGACGGAACTCGGCAAAGGGCAATCTGTTGGGGAATCCAGTTCGAGCAATACGGATACCCTCGAGAACACCATTGCATCGCAGCTGGTCGAGAACAAGCAACTTATTGAACTGCTTGGGCTTCTTCTTGTGGTTGGGCAGGATACAACGGACGAAGTGAGGGTGGGTAGAGTGCAGTTGGGCCATGAGACTGTGAAGCTGCTCTTTGTGACGCTGGGCGACGGTGCGGAATAGGCCCTTCTTGACCCTGTTGCGGCTAGCCCCGAGGTCATCATCCATGTCGGCACAGTCAGCAAACAGGTCAGCGATGTGCTTGTCGGTGGAAGAAGCAAGGAGGCGAGTGATGTTATCGTTCAGCGGGTCTTTGTTCTTCTCCAGCCACCCATCGGTGGAATACTCGACTTCGGCGGCGTAATGCGTCAGGATAAACCCCTGACCGAGTCTCGAGTGCCGGTACTTGTTTGACTTCTTGTCCCACAATGAGTTGAGCTTCTCAGTGAAAGACTTGTCCGTAGCTTTGGGCATGACACAGTCTTCGTCCAGGCAAGAAAAGATACCAATGGGGTTGGAGAGCTCGATCAGATCGATCGTCGGTTGCAGATCGCGTCCAAAGTCGATGAACTGCCACTCAATCTGTTCTCTAGCGTATTCTTCCTGCTCAAGCACGAACATGTGATGGTTGAAGAATTGTTGAAGCTTCTCGTTGGTATAGTTGATGCAAAGCTGCTCGAAGCTGTTCTGTTCAAAGATCTCGAAACCGGCGATATCCAGCACGCCGATAAAGCGGGAATCGTCCAGGCCCATCCCCGTTCTATCCAGCTGGCGATTGATGCGGGTGACAAGATCGCCAAAACCTCTTTCATAGATACCCTTGGACAGAGCATCCAATCCGAGACGGACTTGTTCTGGGGTCTGGACCTTCTCAACCCATTCACGGCCAGCTTTGACTCTGGGATGAAGAAGGCCTTGCAGGAACGGCTCAAGAGGAACTCCGAGAAGCTTGCAAACCTTGGCGGCCTGTTCCTTGGCATCGGGCGCTAATCTGGCCTGGTCCGCGGCACGGCTCTCCTTCACAACGGTTACGTTTCCGAGATGGAGCACGGCTGCGATGGTACGGAGAATGGAGCTCTGGTCCTTGTCTGAGAAGCCCATGATATGGAAGGCCTCCATCAAAGAGTCCCATTCGTCGCGATCAGAGACTCCAACGATTGTGTCATGGCCGGCACGGGTGTATGCGAAGTCTTCGACGTCAAGACCGTCAAGCAGGAACTCAGACTTCATCTTTCTGTCAGCTCCCTTGAGCAGCTGGTAGAAGACGTGGTAGTTTCTCTCATGGCTGTTGATTCTCACAACACGAGACTTCTCCAGGAGGTACCAGTCAATGAATGCGCCCGAGATGGCACCGGCCTTGTTGAACTCGATACGAATGAACTTTCCAAATCGCGAGGAGTTGTTGTTTCGCACTGTTTGGGCGTTTCCGAAGGCTTCGAGGATCGGGTTGGCACGCAGGATTTGTTGAGAAAGATTTGACTGTTGTGACTTGTTCTTGACCGGCGATTCGGAATGCGCTACTGCTGCAAGGTACTGGATGACCTTCTTCGTGTTCTCTGTTTTACCCGCACCGGACTCACCGGTGACGAGAATGCTTTGGTTTTCACCTTCGTCTACCAGATTGCGGAAAGCCTGGTCAGCCATGGCGTAGATGTGAGGCTTGGTATCTTCCCTGCTCCTCCCCTTGTACATGTTGATGTACTCGTTCGTGTATATGGGCAGCGGGCAGTAGGGGTTGACTGTGACCAGAAAGAGGCCGGAGTAGGTGTAGATCAGGTCGGCCTGGTATCTCATGTGCAGGTTGTGGACGACGGATGCCTCGTTCAGATGTGTCAACTCGGCCATATCGTTTGCCTTGTCGAACTTGGCGGGATTGACCTTGTCAACGCTTTCGGCGTCGACTTCTCGTTGCTGCGAACCGGGTGTGAGTTGCCACTCAAGCACATGATTGCGGCCTACTTACTGTGCCATCATCGCACTGGACGAGTATCCTGTTGTCTGCCAAGTCTTCGACAACCCAGCCTCTGACAAAGGCGACCTGGGGGTCTTTAAGCCACACGTATCGCTTTCCAGAGAAGTCGTTTTCGCCCTCTATGCCCCTGACTGTGTCAGAGCCCCTGCGCATCTCCTCCGTCTTGATGAAGGAGGGCGCAAAGGTTCCAGAGCCGCTGTTCCTTGAGTCGGAACGGTTGTGCCGGATGTGACCCGCGCCTGGAAGGAACACAGGCGCAGGCGCGGGTGTAGGTGTAGGTGCAGGTGCGGTCGCAGGCGCCGCGGGAGCTGCTGAGGCTTGAGAGAGGTTCCTGACGTGCGACGTGGGAGTCGATACGGCAGATAGCGGGGATGGTGAGGAGAAGACTGCGGATTTCGGCCGGCCGTTGCTTGGACCCGGCGATGTCCTCGCGAACGGGTTATTGCGTGGTTGCGCCATGATTGCAGCGCTCGGGGGTAGCAATTGGCAAGAAGAGAGAAGCCCTCAGGGCTCGGGGTGTCGTGTCGATTTCGTGTCGTTCGTCGCAAAAACGTCGCTCGTAGGTAATCCGGCTCATGGAGTAAACATTAAGACAGTAACAAAGCGGCGAAGTGCAACAAAGGCGACAAACTCTCAAAGAAAACAAGACGAAAGAAGTCGCCGGGTCGCAACCTCGGGGGACCTATAGTCTTTGGTGAAAAGACGAAATCAAGGCAAGCTTGAGGAGGCTGGGAGGTGGAGGAGGAAGAGCGACGTAAGGATGGATATTGTTGACTTTAGACCATCTGAGCAGGGATTCAGGAGCACCGTTGCTTGGGGTACGCCTGGTAAACAATGGGGGGGATGATGGGGGGACAGGCGTCAGGCTGGGTGTGACGCGAGACCGTCTCAAGTCAGTCTAGCCCGAAAGGGGATAGCACGGATCGAAGGCCTCTCTTCCCTGCACGGTCGTGATTTTTGTTCCGTTTGCTTGGGTGCAGGTGCCAACCAAGTGCTTTTTTTTTACTGCCCTTGGAGGAGCCCGGGGGAAGAATATTTCGAAAACTTGAGGTGTCCAACTCCAACGGACCAACCTCGTTTGTCGCATTGCGGGCCATCAAAGACACTTCGTTCCACAGCCCTCGCCCACGTCGCTTCCAGGGATCCTTTTCCTCTTCAGCGGGACGGGAAGAAACACCACGATATCTGCATCGTTTTTTTTCCCCTTCGCTCTCCCTTCTGGTCTGACTGACGCCTTCGGAACTTGTCTTCATCCGGACATTGTCTCGTCTTGTTTCGCACCAGTGCGCAGTGCCTGCAATCCAAATTGCATGACGGTTGCTATTCCGCGCTCGCTCAAGCGCCCGTGAAATATTCTTGCCATCTTGGCAGCCAACCAACGACGAACAACCAGCCTTGACCGCCCTGGGACCTTCTCCGTCTCTCTCCCTGCGAACTGCTATGCGCTTTCTGTTCTTGACCACAGACTCAATCTACCTTTCCAGATTCATCCCACCTGCCGTCGCCTCCACAAGACTGCTTTTGCCGCCGACTCGATAATATTGTGGCTTGCACTTGACGACAGCAAACGCCAGGCTTTGATTACGGGTCGCGCCTACTCCCCACGTCGTGCTGAGGCATCGTCGCTCCTTTGACTTTTCCGTCAGACAGCCATTCCCGTCACAGGCAAACTCAGTCCCGGTCAGAGTCACAGTCGCGCCCTCATTCGCCTTTCGACCATGAACAATTACTATCCATACGGGTACTCGCCGTACCCGGGGCAGCCTCCTCCCCAGCCCTACGCGTATCCGACGGCACCTCCCTTTCCCGCGCAACCCTATCCCCCACCCGCCCCGAACAACGCGTTCGATGCTCAACCCCATTTTCGCGATACCTACGACCAGTCGCAGCATATGATACCCGGACTGGGCTACGGTCAACCAACCCAGACATTCGGCTGGCAGCAACCGATACAACCACCTCCAGCACCCGAGGCAGCATCGCCAGCGCAAGCGCCGCCCCAATATCAGCTCCAGCAGCACCAGCACCAGCACCAGCACCAGCAACAGTGGCCTTCGCGCGACGAACCCAAGCTCATCCCCGCTGCGCAGTACTACCGACCGAAAAGTGTGACCATGGAGGCATCCAAGGCTCGAGCTCTGGCATCCACTCGAGGGGCCCCGCAGCCCGCCCTCAAGCAATCGCATAACGGCACTAACAGCACCGAAGAGGGGGAGCTTAGCGAGGGCGAATTCGACGATTTGTACGAGCCTGCAGACACCATCATGGACACCAGCCCTCGTCGGCCGGCCGTTGCCTCTTCCTCAGCGACGACCGCCAAGAGCCGTGCTGGTAATGGAAATGCTGCCCCTACGTGGGCCCAAGGTCCGGACCACAAGCGGGCGCAAAGCCCTGCTGCTCTCGATGCAGCTGGTGAGCAGACCTCACCTCACGAAAACTCTGGGGCAATATCTGACTGTAACGCAGCTCGGGATCGATCAGGCTCCTACTCCCCCTACCTATCTCCCCGCGAAATGAATCCTCCCCTCAACGTCAACAACGGACATCGCCAAATATCCCAGCAAGCGCAGCTGTCAAACGGCCAAGCAGTCCAGTCGAGTTCATCTGCAACTGCTCCATCAGGTCTTGAGGATGCCCGGAAGCAGGCCCGAGCAGCCATCCTCAATCTTTGGCCCATGAACGTTCGCTACCAGCAGTATATCGACGAAGGCATCGATGCAACAGTAGTCAGGAACTTATTTTCTGAGCTTGGCTTGGATGCCAGCACCCCCAACCAAGCTAGCGGTCCAGGGGTCTCTGCTCCTCCAGCAACGACCACTTCTCATTCACCTTCCCACACAACCTTCAAGGCTCCTGGAGGAAAGGCATCTGTAGCAGCTGTGAAGCCTGGTGTACAAGAACAAGCACCAGCTTCAACAGCCAAGTCAGCTGGGGAGGAGAGAAAGGACCGGATCGCTCGTCTCTTAGCCGCAAAGAATGCAAAGGCCGCCCCTTCATCGTCTACCGCAGCCAGTGCTGAAGCAAAGGCTGCACAAGGTTCTGGATTAACCGACAAGGAAACCGTTCAGCAGCAAAAGATGGACGCCCTCCAAAAGTCCCGCGAGGCACGCGCTCAGAAAGATGCTGTGCGGAAGAACAGTCTACAAACTGTGCAGTCTGCAAACACATCGCCGGCTGCCACTCGACCTTCCTCAGCAGCAAATGGCACTTCGACTATCCCTGCAGCAGCCCAGTCTCCTCAGTCCAGCTTGCCCCAAGGACAGTACCCATTGCCCACAGCCGCGCCTGCAACCACGATTCCCGGCCTATTTATGTCGGCGCCTCAGGCCGCAGCAAGCAACCAGCGGAAACGACCAGTTGCTGCCGACTTCGTCGCAATCTCACAGGCAAATAAGCGCCCCTTTGGCCACCAACGCCAAGACAAGCCTTTTGTAATCGACGTTAGCGACGCCTCGGACGACGAAGATATTGAGATGGAGATAACTTCTCCAACGGATGAGTCTTCTAGCTTCCAACAGGCGAACACTCCATTGCAAAAGACAGCATCGTTCCGCAACTTTCCGCCACTGACAGACGGGCGACCCCAAGTCAGCCCTGTGCCCAGCAACGTTACGACTCCACAGTCGGGAATTATCGCAGCCCAGCCGAAAGCAGGTCATCTTGAAAATATGGATAAAAAGATAGAAGCTATGAAGCGCAAGATTGCATTGGCCGAGGCTAAGGCCAAGCTGAAGGCTGCTATGAGTGGCCAAGCATCTGGTCCCAAGTCTAACGGACAAACGCCAGACGCCACTGCGGACTCGGATGGAAGCAAACCTGCCATCAGACGAGTACAATCCATGGGTGCATCCAGTGCGTCTGATCAGCCCAACCCCAACGCCCCATCTTCGCCGGTGGTTGCCGAAGCGGGCAGCTCGATGCGTCTGCCAAAGCCATCCGAGAGGAGGGCCGAGGCTGCTTCCGTTCGCGCCCAGAAGTTCAGAGAAGTCAGCACCAGTCTCCCACTCGTTGAGGGCAGATTAAAGGCAAAGAAGAGTAAACTGCGTCTTCTGCAGTCTCAAATCGCTCGGTTACAGAAGGAGATCGAGGAAGAGGGCGCTGAGAAGGAGAAGTTGACCCAGGAGATGGAACAGCTCAACCAAGACTCCGACGAGTCCAGCGATCCCCAAAGCCTGCCTAAGAGCAATTCTGGTTAGTAAACGCTATGAATTCGTTGACAGATACTCAGGAAACATTCATTAACTTATATTCAGTGGATCCTGTTGCTACGCAGACCCTTGTCGGGCCTCAGTCTGATGTGCAGGCCGAAGTCCCTGCTGCTGACACCGCAGTATTGGCTTCGAGCGTGGTCACTTCGGCCCTTTCCAGCATAGAAGCCCCCAAGCCCCAGCCCCCTGTTGCGCAAAGCATTGAAGATTCTTCCATCGCGGCGCAAGCCGATGTTGCTGCTACTGGTAAAGCTGCGACGAACCCCCCTGATGTCCCTGATGCCACAGTCCAGGCAGTGCCCGCGCCCGTTGAGGCACCCGTCAATCCGGTGACAAGCACCAATGCAGTTCAGGAGTCGCGGCCGGTCTCAATTTCAAGTGATGGTCCTTCTGATGTCGTCATGGGCGAATCATCAGATTCGAGTTCCCAACATGAAGAGCATATTCAAGATGGAGACCAAGAGTCCTCGTCGGACGCCTATGAGCCATCCGAGGCAGTTGCCCCTCAAATTGACGCCAGATCTCCATCAACTAGCCCAGTGCGAGCAGGCAGCACCGTCTCGCTGGCTAATAGTGATGCTGACCCACAGGAGCCAAGTTCACGAGCCTCACAAATCCCTGAACAGATCTCGTTGGGTGTCAACGAATCAACTCCGGAGCAGGGAGTTGAAGCTACGAGAGAAGTACATTTCGTTTCGCGCCATCAACACTCGGTGGTTTCTAACCAATATCACAGGCCCCTCAACCAACACAGAGCGCTGATGAGATGCCCTCCGGAGATGTCTTCACCCCTTACGAGAGCCCACTCCAATACTTCCGTGCTTATCGATACCACCCCAAGTTTGCTGAGACAGTCGCTGGTGGACTTCGGTCTCTCACGTATAGCAACAGGATCGATCCGGAACAACCCGTCTGCCCAGACCAACTGGCCAGCCAGGAATGCCCACGAGGTGCTGACTGCATTTACCAGCACTTCGAGGCCATGAAGTTGCCGGGTAGGTCGCCATCGCCCCGCAAGGATAACTGACCTCGTCACATGTCTCGAAGCATGTTGAACGCTGACGGTCGCCCCCAACGTTTTAGACGACCAGATTCTCCTCCAGCTTGGCGGCACCAAACTTGACGGAGACGAAAGGAACCAGTTCAACGACGGATTGCGCAAGGTCCTGCAAGACATGAGATCCAAGAACATCAGAGACTTCCCCAGCATCGCTCGGGGCATCGTCGAGTACCACAAGAGCTTCAACGGCGATCCATCCAAGATCTTGCCATTGGGCAATGTGTCACTTTAGTTGACAGAAGCACAGGAGCCTGCATAGGCCGCTTCAATTTCCCGTAATCCCCTTCACCAGCACTCGCACAAGTCGCTGGTTTTCTCCCCCATTCCTTTTGCAATCAAGCAAGCACTTCTGTTTCCTTTCTTCATCTTTTACATACCCCGCATGTCCCCCTACAGAGGCTTGAATGCCGTCTGGGAAGGGCTTTGGGCGGCGTTTGCACGATACCCCTCTTTGCGTTACTTTTATAAGTGATTCGGCCTGAGGATATCAGGCATGAGGCGTCGGTACAATGGAAAAATGGCAAGTAGGCAAAACAAATAATGGCCAGAGTGGCAATGACGCACTCTGCGTGTCAAGATATTGAGTGGTGGCGAAGCCTAAATAGGGCTGCCATCGAAAGAGCTGTTAGCCCTTCAGGGTTCGTCCGTAGACAATTTAATGATGTCTCCTGTGAAAACATGTGCCGGGTAATGTCAAAGTGTGCTGCAGGTTATCATATCGGGTTTGTATTAAGGTCACCCATCTCATTACAAAGATAGATTTGAATGATGTGCTCCAAAACTCCGGATTGCTAACAATTTCTATTACGCAGAAAATCAACCACTTTCCTTCTTCCCTTCTGATGTTTTTCATACTTTCGTATAGCAGGTTACCGCCTGCGGGCACACCTTTTTGACTGCCGTATGACTCTGACGGAAAAGAGTGAGGGCCAGAATGGCAGAAGCAAAAAAAAGCAAGAAAAAACCAAGAAACAAAAGAAAAGGAGAAAAGAACCCAACCAAATTGCCAAACATCCACCGCTTCATATGGAAACTAAAGCAGAATGCAACGTGTCTATCTCTCGCACCCATCAGGCTTTGACCTCCACGACCTCGTGCCTGCTGTGCCCATCGCTAGATTCCCTTCCCCCGAGGACAGGCTCAGTCTTGGGCGGCGCGGGCTTGTCGTCCAGCAACTCCCTGTCGCAGAACCCGGGGTGGAAGATGATGAGCCCGCCGACGGCAACGATGATCATGACGCTCTCAAACCCGATGAAGAGATCCTGGCGGTGCATTAAGGGGCCGGTCCACCCGCCGCTCAGCTCGGCGACGCGGAACACGCAGCGCCAGAAGATGCAGACGGTCGCCAACGCCAGGGCGACCAGGAAACCGCGGAACTTCCGCGACGAACGCAGGTGGCCCAGCTTCGCGGCCTCGGCGTCTTCCTCTGGCGAGGAGGCCAGGGGCGAGCTGTCACCGCTGCTGGTGCTGCGCCAGGCGCGGATGGCAAAGTCGGCCGAGACGACCATGAAGATGGCCATGGTGATGACCTGGGAGATGAGGCCGGCCATCATGATGTTGTCGCCCTTCTGGGTGGACGCTGCGTGGTAGGTGGCGTAGGCGGCGAGGCCGCCGCCGACGGCCTGGAGGACGAGGGCGACCATGTCGCAGGGGATGAAGACGCGGGTGTAGAGCTGCGGGCGGATGCGGGAGTGGGAGACGCCGAAGACGCGGACGATGCGGCGGAGGCAGACGTAGATGCCGGCGGCGAGGAACGCCGGGCCGACGGTGAGGGCGCAGATCTGCGTCATGAACGGCCACGTGCGCCACTGGTTGCTGAAGCTGACGATGCGCGCCGCGTAGCCCAAAGTCTCGGCCGTGAGGCCGCACAGGAAGGCAATGTTGAAGATGTGGCCGCGCCGGGTGGCGGCCCATATCGCCGCGTAGGCGACGAAGCAGAGGCCGAAGATGCCGGTGAAGGCGACGTTGGCCGCGAAGTCGAGCTTATACATGTAATACGATGGAACGTCCAAGCACATGCGGAGTTTCGGGTTGTAATAACATATGTACATGTTGATGTAGTCTGGAATACGCGAGAATCAGCTGTTTGGTCCAAGTATGGTTAAGGGTCCCGAGAGCGCACCGTTGAAAGTAAAGTGCTCCATCTTGATATTAGGGCTGGCTGTGGTGTTTGCCGGCTTGGCTGATGATCTTTGATGATGGCAGAGAAGTAACGGAGAGCTGAGATGACTGCGAAGATGAGACTTCGCACTGGACGGAGGAGGGGTGTTGGACGTAGTTCAGGTTAACCTCTTGATCCTAGTGAGAGATCATCGACAACGTTCGGAGAGTTCACCAGCGACAAGAAGCAGAATCTTTATGGGGGATGGGGGACTCTGGAAATAGAGAAACGGACTTTTATGTGCTGCGTATAGCAAGAGATGCCCTTCCAGGGATCAGGTTCTCAACCAGGTAGGTCGTACCTCTACGGTCATTCAAGATACTAGCAAAGTATATTTGGCAATTTCGCGATCCAGTGGCTCGGAGGCTACCGCACGATTGGCTGGCTGCATATATCATTGCGGTCGAGCCGTGGACAGAACGCCTCAACTGGTGTTGGTATTCCAATTCAGGGAACGATATTCACATCATCAAGATCGGAATGTGATGATGTTGGATATCACGATGACTGCCGTGTTTTGGGATCACATGAATCGTAACTTCCATGGGGTTTTTCTCAAATGCATGCGGTTCTCTGCGATGGGAAAGTCATATTGGGTGTTGCCGCCATCTAAGGTGAAGGGGATAAAGTTTGAAGTTTGTGCCGGTAATTCATGGCAAGGATGATGAGACGAACCACTCTCACCCACACCTGAGCTTATTTTGAGGATCATCACGCCGTCTAGGCTCCATACTGGTCGTCTAAAGCGCCTCATGAACCTATGAGGGGGTTGTGAATAATACTCCGTGAGGCTGCAGATCCATGTATCGTCTTATTTCACGGCAGATCCAGCAGGGCAGTCGAGAAAGGGAACCGTGTGGAATGGCCACCACGCGGAGGCAGTCGGCAGTGTATGGGAAAACGCCTACATCAATACAGACTGTACCAGACCGGGCCGAGAAATCCTCTTGTCAGCGTATGGCACGTCCTTGAAGTGGAAAACGGACTAGTCTCCAGAAATGATGGCATTCATCATAGTCGCCTGTCCTGTCATCACATGGGGGGTAGGGTGTGTCTCTGGAAACGCTCCTTCGTCAGCCTGTCGAGCATCGACGACGATTCGGAGCGGAAGAGCGTATGTAGTCAAAGCGAGGCTTTTGTGAAGTCGAAAATAATGTGGCATCCCGAAACAAAAAACGGGCGATCACGGTTGAAAAGGACTTAGAAAAGCCGGCCTCTCCGAATCTATCTGTCAACTTCGTATTCCACTTATTCAACGACAATACAGTCATACGACGGGCTGGTTTTGCTAAGCCTCTTCATATCAATCATGCAACCGAGACATAGGGGTCAGCTCTTCTGGTCCTTCAACTATCGCCGTCGTTGTCAATATCGCCATTATCGTTATCGTGTTAATAGGCGGTCTCTTTGAGCTCATAATTTGGAAGGACAGGCGTCCCATCGACCAGGATGATCTTCTAGGTGGCCCTTGTTCACGACGGTTGCCGATTTGTACCGCAATTGCCCATCCCGACGTTGATCCAGATTCTTCCAAACAACCGCCTTACATGTCCAGCACAGTTGAAGAGCAAGGAACATCGAAAAGAAGCCACGAGGGATGCTGTGCATGCACATGTCGAACCCGGTGAGCGAGAAAATAGCTCCACCAAAATGTCTCTTGCTCGCTAGCTCAATATCAGTGGTAAATAAACTTTTATTCCAAAGTGTACTGTATTCCAATTTTGTCTCCGCCTTTTCTTTGACTAGGCACCTCAATACTACGGCGCCACGGTGACGCGCTTTTTCTTCTTCCCGCCCTTGACCTCCTCCACACCCGCATTACCCAGCCCCTTGGCATCGATCCCGCTCTTCGTCACGACGCCCCCGAGGGCCTTGCTCGTGCCCAAACTGATCCCCTTGCCCTCGCGCATGCTATCCAAGCTCAGGCTGCTGCCTCCGCTGCCCCTCCTCACGCCGATGCCCTTGAGCTTCGCCGTCGGCGACTCGCGGGTGGGCTTCAGTAAGCTGCCGTCCTCCTTGTCGTCGGGGTTCGTAGCGCGGCTGTCAGGTCTGTCTGGTGAAGAAGGTACATCGTCGTCGTTAGCGGCGACCTGCGAGTACGGAGTTCTCATATTGCTATTCGTGCGGGTCGTCCCGAAAGGCGAGGGGATCCCGGACGGTCGGTCTCGAGACTTGTATGAAAGCGGGCTGTCCGTACCGTTTCTGGGCTGGATCTCATCCACCGCGTTCGACGTGTCGCTGGCGGAGACGTCGCTATCTTTATGGGCGTGGCGGTACGCGTTGCCGGAGCCGAGGAGGCTCTCCTGTCTTGCGAGCTGGTAGCGGGCGTATTCCTCCTTCGAGTGAAGTGCGTCGGTGAAACTGTCGAGAGCGTCGAAGACGTGCGGGAAGACCTGAGCATCGACGTCGCGGCCCCAAAGGAAGTCGAGGTGCTCGTAGTGGGGGATCTCGGTAGCTACAGTCTGACTCGGAAGTTCTTTGAGCATGACCTTGATGTCGACGAGGGAGTCGCTGCCGCCGTAGACGAGCACAATCGGGGTCTTGATGTTGCGAGTCGGGTACTTGGCGACCTTGGTATACTTGCTGGACGAGCTGATGGACACGGGAGGGTGGACGTCGTCGTCGTACATCTGGAAGGACTTGTTGCGGATGATCTGAAACCAGTGGACCACACTCTTTGTGCTGGTGAACGAGTATAGATGGGGGTAAGCAGCGAGTTTCTGGCTGAGAGAGATGTTCTTCGTCTGCCAGTTGAACAAAAAGGAAAGACCGACGTCGATTACTCGAACGAAAATCGGCGGGTAAAGAATGGACTGCCACATGGTGGCGGAGCTGAGAATCGATCGACGACCGAAGAGGAGAAACAGAACTTGCGGCGACGCCTTGACTAGTGCGTCTACGATACCGTTGGAAAGACCAGCAGGAGACATTGCTGGTGCCAAGGCGATGAAAACGTTGACCTGCTGGTTCAGCTTGGGGTGGATGGCCAAGGTAGCAAAAGCCTGAGCGGTTCCCTGGGAGAAGCCAATGTATGACAAACTCTCCTGGCCGGTGGCCTCGAGGATGTAAGCGATGCTGTCGGGAATGTCATGGAAGGCGAACTCGTCAATGGAGAAATTCCAGAACTCGAGAGACTTGGGCGAGTGAGAAACCGACTTCTTCGAGTACTTGTTACCGCGGTTGTTGCCGAGCTGTGTCATCGTCAGTTTTGCGCCAGTTCAACATGGGTTGGTAAATGTACCCAAACATCGTAGCCCTTCTCGACAAGTACGAAAGGAAGACATCTCTGCTCGTCGGTCAAGCATACCCAGACCTCCGAGTTCATGAGAAGCCCGTGATGCAGATATACGACCTTCTTCTGCACGCTGCCTGGGCCGCAGTTGATCCTTTGGCCCTCCTCGCCTTTCCTCCAAGCCAGGCGGTGGAGACCCAGCAGGAAGCCATCCTTGGTCTGCGTGACGTGCTCCTCGGCCTCGTATCCGTATAACCGGCAGAGATCAACAAAGTCGGAGGCGTCCCTCACATTGGTCGAGATGGCTGCGCACCACGCGAGTCAGCGCAGTTCGAAATCACAGGAAAACGTCAGCCGTGGCGGGGAATCAACCAACACTTCTTGCGCTGTTCCGCGCGTTTATGCGCCGGCGTCGAGAATCGGTTAAACAGTCGACGGGAAGCCACATAGAAGAGCGAGATGAGCGGCGAGGCTGGGAGGAGCTCCTGGGTTAGCTAGCTAGCTCTGAACGCCACGAGGAGAAGCGCATTTTGCCATACGTAGAGCCAAGGTCAGGACGCGGATGATGGCCTCGAGTCCTACCAGCAGAAAAGACCCCACCAAAGCCACATACTCGACGCTGCGCGACTCCATCAGCACCAGTCTGGATCGCACTGACTGCAACATCGCAAGGGTTCAAAGCGTTGCAGTTTGAGGGGCGGGATTTCAGGAAAGGGAGAGAGAGGATGGATCAGGACAATTGGGCACCCTTACATGTTTAGCCGGCCGATGAAAGGGATAGGCATCGTGTGGAACAGAGAATGCAGTGTAATATGCGATAAGAGGCTGGCGGCGCAGGCCAGGAACGATATGTCTAAGGTTTTTTTGGTGGGAAAGAAAAGGAAAGAAACGAGCAGCTAGGGGGAGCTCTCAAGGCATCATCACTCTAGTGTCCAAAGGGGCGCAAAGCTTAACTTAAGGTCGCAGACAGAGAGGAGGGCTTTGGGCTGCTGATTGTAGCTTTGCGGTTGGCGATCAACTGGGCTCGTGGGGGAAAAAGATGTGCTCGAAGCTGCTGTGTGTCGTGTGTCAGCGTACGAAAGTGGAAGTGGACGGGCGCGAAGTGATGTCACATGTGAAGATGCATCTGAGGGAGAGCTCTCGAAAGGGAAAAGGTCAAGCTCCCAGTCCCAGATTCAAGGTCAGAGGTTCGGGAGGTCAGTGGTCACCGGCCCCGGGTCCTGTTGCGCTGTCACAACGTGCCAACGCAGCACCCATCGCCGTCATGGCAGCTCTCTTCGGGGCATGGGTGCCTCAATTGGAAGGGGCACGGGTGGGGAAGGGGGTGCCCGCGCGAGCAACGCGGTTGGTCGACGGGCCTGGATCCCTGAAAAGCGGGAACCTGAGGACCTGAAGGACTGCAGGGACATGGCACTAAGCCAACCTTAGCGGCCTCTCCTCACGGGTTGTCTCTGTGCTCGCACCTTGCAGACTCGCGAGAACGTTGTGAAAGGACGCTGGAACCGCTGCATCCGAGTGGGTCTATCTCATCCAATCACAGTGGCCGTGTTTTTTTCTCTAATTGTTTGATGCTTCGCAAACCTTAGAGTCGGTACTGTACGCTGAGGCTTCACGTCGAACCACCTACCACCGCCTGCCTGTCCACCGAAGGAAATACCCCCAGACCGCCGTCACCATGCCCAGCTCCTGCAAAGAATTGCGTGCGTCCCAACTCCCCTCCCAAGAACCACTCGCATGGACACTCAACTGACTAAATGCCCACAGGCGCGGCTCTCGCGCAATGCCTCCAGGAATCCGACTGCGTCATGGTCCACCAGAACAGCGCCTCCGACTGCCTCCGCGAACCCCTCGTCAACACCCTCCCCACAAAGTGCCAGCAGCTCAAGAAGGGCTTCGGCGAGTGCAAGCGCGGCATGGTCGACATGCGCAAGCGCTTCCGCGGCAACATGCCCGTCAACTACAAGACCATGAACGATGCCGAGTCGGGCAAGGGCTACCAGCTGTACGCCGGACGGCCGGCCTTTGCTGGCGGCAGGGGCGAGACGGATGGCAACGAGCCCATGCCCAAGGACTGGAGGGAGGTGGAGAACGAGAAGTACCGGGCCGAGCAGGCTGAGGCGCAAAAGAAGTGATCCAACATAATACTATGAAGAACTGTGAAGAAAGCTTCAAGAGGTGGATATCACGAGACACTGTACAGAATATGTGTATGACCTGAAGAGCGAGGCATCGGTTGGCGTCCTGGAGTTTTTGCAAAATGGTCTCGAAGCCAGTGTACGATTATGTTCTATGGACATGCGCCGTAACATCCCGACTCAACCTTTGGCATGGATTGGATGCCCGTGTATATCCCGGGTCAGAGAAACGGCAAAATGGTGGGTATAGTGGCTTGGTACGCAAGTATCAGCTCGTTGGGCATCACGCTTGAAAATGAATGAGCAACGTCGACTGAAATGTTGATCCACTGGGTCACATATGGAGCAGAAGTGACAAGTTGGTTGCCGCTCAACAGCCACAGACTCCAGTTTATCTAAACGCGGCAATAGGCACGTACAAAGATATCAAGTGCGATGAGTGATACCTGCACACTCGGAAAAAGGTACACAGTCATATTGCTTGCACGGGAAAATAGTGCTGATTTAGGGTTGGCGTATACGAGAGGACCAGCCTGCCTGGAAACCAGTTCAAACCACAAGAGGCACATCGTCAGCGTCTCGAACATTATGCCACTTCTTACCTAATTCTTTCGCAAACAATAAGTGAGCTGCAAGTCTGAGATTCAATCCAATAGGTGAACCAATCAAGACGAGAGAGAATTCTTGTATTATTACTGTAGACAGTTGCACAAGTCATAGCTCGCCGCATCTGCCACCTCGACGTCTCCCCCTCCCTATTACCCAGATCTTTGATCGATTCTCTCAATGTCTTCAAATACCATCCAAGGTCCTTTTCCTCCCCTTTCAATTCAACATAGTCTGGTTGGTTGATGCTTCCGAGCATCGTAATCCCCCGCACCACGTAAAGGTCCAGACTCTGCAAGGGACCCTCCACGCAGTTTCGGATCCCCACAAGTGCGCGAACCCATCCCCTGCGCTTCATAGGGCTGCCCAACTCTCGGCGTTATGATGGGCTGATTTGAAGAAAAAAAGAAGAAAAATAAGAAATACGCCTCAACCCCCTCGATCCCCATCCCTCTCAAACCACGACCCTGAACTCACGAAGAATCCGGGGTTGGGCGAGTCAGGACGAAGTCCCGCCTTCTCAATCCTTCCTCTAACTCACAAAGAGTCCGATCCAGGCGAGGCGGGCGGGTCCAAGGACCAAGGGGAGAGTCGTCGTCACTTCCAGGCTCACGCAGGCCTACCAGCGAATTCTCGTCATCCGGCGCCTTCCGCGCCGTCCCTTGCGAGGGCGGCGCGTGGCAGCTGCGGACGGATCATCGACGCTTCAGGTAACTGCGGATCCCTCCAGCGGTGTAAAAGTTGTTGTAAAAAGGTGATCCTCGACTGTCTTCCGGCTGGCGCGCCCCGACCTCCAGACAGGAAAATCCAACAAAGGTTTCCCTGCTCAACACCTTCAGCTCTACGCTTCCGTGGAAGGGAACATCAGGTGGAACAGAGAGTGGCACTCCTGGCCTGCTCGACGCCGCGCATGGTGGTGGTTGTCTGTTATGTGGTGATCGTAGCGAACATGGCGGCGGAACAAGGGAGGCCGATTGAGGTGGTGGAAATGCAGGAATCTGTGTGTTTGGCTGGTGGACTCGACTGCATGGCGAATTCTAGAAAGAGAGAGTAGAATTGCGCTGGAGAGGAGTAAGAAAACAAGAGTTAAACGAGGGACGGTTGATGAAGCTTTATACAGGATTCAGAGTGGCATGTCAGACGCAGGTGGAGTTGAAGTCGAGAAAAGGTTTGGGGCGGCAAAGACAGGGCCAAGCCGCCAACTGGTATGATCTGCAGTCGTGAGCCTCTGGAACCAGTGACACCCCACCTGGAAGAATGGGCGCTAGCGGGCGTTGGTCCGCCCTGTTCCGGCAGCACAATTGGAGGTTGGGTGGCACTGGACCTGAGTTGGGAACTTTGGGGCGCCTGGAGGACCGGGAACCTGAGGGAAGGGGTGGAAACGTCTCAACGTGCCCCTCCTCCACCCACGCGCAACGACACCTTACCTTACTCTTCCACTCTCACCTCAGTCTCTCGTCTCATCCCTTCCAGCTTCTTTTCCACCCACCCAACCAAACCCCATGAAACCAGGAGCGACTCGCAACTCCCAAGGTCCCGATGGCCTGATGTCTGAAACCTGAGATTGCAAATCATCGATCCATCACTGTCGTCGGCCTGCCCGGGGTTTCTGCACCAGGCATTCTTCGCCTTCTCGCTTCAGCCCCTCCGAGCTCCATCGTCCAATTGCTTGTTTCTTGTGTCAAGTCGCCAAACGGCTCTACGCTCCTCTCGGCCACCGCTGCAGCCGCACCACTCGTCTCTTTCACGTCTCTTCTCACCTGTCCTGCGGGGCGATAAGGTGTCAACCACGGCCTGTAGGCAATCCTTAACCTTAATCGAATTGCTTGGCAGGCACCTTTCGTCCCCTCTTGTGACGGCGGCAGCTGGTTTGAGGTGAATCTTGACTTGGGGTGTCTGACCAAGACCGGAGCAGCTTGGTTTCTGGAACTGCAGCCATTGGAGCTTCACTCGAGATCTCTCGGCCGCGGGATTCATTGCACATACAGCAGAAACGACATATCGCAAAACCCCAGCCTGCGAGTGCGAGAAACGTGGTTGGAAACGACCGAAAGCAATACCGATCGAGATGGCCCCGACTATCACACAGTGGATCCTGGATACTCGGCACCTGTATCCAGAGGCCACTGAAACGAAGCACCTCGAACAAGCAGTAAGAAACCTCACCCTCCCTCACCGAACCGAACCGCCCGTGAACCACCCACACACACCCATGTCTGTTTCGTCCTTCTCCATGCAAATCAAACCGCCCGAGGCGAGATCTTTACCCCAATAGTCGCCCAGCAATTCGGCGCAATATCCCATTCGCCTCACTTCAACCCTGGAAGAGCAGAAGCAAACCCTGAAAACTCCACGAATCTGACCAAACGACTCAGGCATCCCGGGCTCTCGCCCTCCTCGGCGCCGACGAGCGCAAAGCTGTGCTAAAGTACTACCACGTTCGCGACGCGAAGCTGTCTCTAGGCTCGCACCTTCTGAAACGCTACGCCATCAGTCGTTTCTGCGGCGTCCCCTGGCCTTCGGCAAACACTGTACGCAATGAGAAGACAAAGCCCGTCTTCCGCACCGCCGACGGCTCCGAACCCCTGAGCTTCAATGTAAGCCACCAAGCCGGTCTGGTCGCGCTCTTTGCCGTCCACGGTTATGACGCGGCCAATGGGCCGGTAGACGTGGGCGTTGACATTGTCTGCACCTCGGAGCGTCGCTCCAGGGACCACAGCATGCTCAGGAGCGAGGGGTGGCCGCGCTTCGTGGACGTGCACGCCGATGTGCTCTCGCCTGCTGAGGCGAGCTTCCTCAAGTGGCAGGTTCTCTCGGCGATCCCGCCGGGGCTGAAGCCGGGGGCCTCTGCAGAGGACTCGATGGACTTCAAACTGCGGTGCTTCTACGCTCTTTGGTGTCTGAGAGAAGCATATGTCAAGATGA